TTTTCCCCGATTTTTTCCTGGAAATCAACTTTGAACGCGGCATAAGAAAGGGCAGTCCCTTTTTGGTGAAGTATTATAACGAAAAAAAGTCAGTTCACAATTTGGTTATTATCCAAAAATCTTCACACCTAAATAACCAAACTGTCAACATGCAACAAATTAATCTCGAGACCTCGCAAATTCCAAAAACCGTGCGGCAAAACTGTGCCAGGCTTGCAATTTAGGCCAAAATATCAAAAATATCAGTAGGTGTTTAACACTCATATCGGGGACTGAGAATCTTAGATTTTAGAAAAAAATTTAAAATTAATCAAGCAAAGCTTGCAAAGAAACGAGTGTCCAGGCTTCCTGTTCTCCTCAGTTCTTTCAAAAAAATTTCCAAAAAGTGCACAAAATCTCGAAAAATCGCTTCGAAAAGCGAGGTTTACGGTTGCCCGAGAGAAACAGCATGAAAGTGTACTGATTAGCCAGACTTTTCGTCTGTTGATCCCTTTCGCAGAGGCTCAGCACATGAAAGAGAATCTGGTTTTTACCGGGAAAAACCTGACTAAAACCACTGTCTTCAGGGAATCTTGCGAAACCACTGGCATCAGCATATGGGAGTACCATATAAATGGCATCAGGACATGGGGGTACCATATCACTGGCATCAGGGAATACGCTGGAAAATGGCATTTTACTTTACTGCAAAACTTATATTTCTAGGGTTGGATCCAAATCCCTAACAAAATAATAATTGTTTGACAATGAGGCCCAATAATACATGTTTTCATTTTGGGATCCGGCTGGATCGTGCTCGTCAATCCGAAAAATTTTTTGTTGCTGCTCGCTCGTCATCTTCGATTTTTCGTCCCTCCAGGAAATCCTGACATGTTTGGGCCCAATCATTATTTTATTAATATAAACAGGAAACAGTTCCAAAAATATTAAGCTCTTTATTTCATCACAATAATTTTAAGAGATTTTGTTCAATAAACCAAGCAAAAAGTGAAAAAAGTACAAGTAAAACGTTTAAGAAACATTAGAACTACTCGATGTTCGACTTCCAGAATCCAACGGTAGAATCTCCGGAAGCGGTGAAGAGCATTGCCTTTGTGGAGCACATGCTGTTGATGCCGTCTTGATGTGCTTTGGAGTACTGTAACCAACAATTTAAAAATTATCTTCGAATGCTCTCTTACCTCTTCTACAAGTTTCATTCGGTTAGATGAAGCCACATCCCAGAAACGGAGAGTTCCATCTTTACATGCAGACACCAGAAATTCTTTTCCTTTTGGTCCAAAACCAGTCAGTGATTGAATGTATTGTTGATGAGCCCGTAGCTCCAGATGCTCACGTTTGCCGTCTTTCAGAGAGAATTTCATAATGTTCTGAAAATAAAAACTACAATTTTTGAATCCCACATTGACTATCTTACCAAATCCTTAGAAGCAGTGTACAAGTGTCCATTCAATGGCAATACAGCAGTTACATTATCATAATGTGGTGGGGTGAATTCGCATTTAGATTCGATGACTCCAGTTCCAAAACCGACGTCATACTCTTTTACATAATGATCACGCGATCCAGTGTAAGCCAAAATACTTCCTTCTGGTGACAGTGTCGTTCGAAGGCAAGATACTTCCGACTTGGGTGAGTGGGACGCGGCATTCAAACGTCCCAAAGGCTTCCACTCACTGAGATTCCACACACGAACATAGGCAGCGAATGATGTAAAGAGGTGTCTTCCTGTGGGATCTACGTCGGCAGCTGTGATGACTGTCTCCAAAAATGGAATTGTGTTCTGTCGTGGCATCACTTGAGAAACGTCAATTGAATCCCCATCATTCACTTGTCCGGACGAATTCAAGACTTTTACACAAATGCAGTCTGGAGAACGATAGTCCCAAGCTCGAGCCTCGTACATTGAGAAAGTGAAGACATAGTTGGAATATGGTACGAACTTGACTAGGTGAACATTGTTGGGATGAACTCCCAATGTTCGAATCTCTCGGCACGCTTCGATATCCCAGAGCTTGGCAGTCCGGTCTAAAGAACGTATCTTATATTTATAGTCTATGTGATACTCCCACCTTTGGATCCAGTTACCATGAGTGTATCTGTAACATCAACTGATAAAACACCTCTTCCATGACCTTCCAAAGTATGAGTTCTGGTGAGAATAGATCCTCGCATTCCATCTTTCACTGGTAGGATTCGGCTCTGCTTTCTGGAAAAAATTTGAAACTCTCCTAGAGAATTTGAATTTCATATGCAAACTGCAGTTGTGGAAGGAATGAGAGTAAAATAAGAAGTAAGCCATATGGTAACTATTCTAGATTCTCCAACAAATTTTCTGTGTATAAATCATGCGGCAGTGATTTTTGTTTTCGGTGATATTTTCAGCATGAAAACCGTGCAGTAGAGGTGATTGAAAACAGGTGAAAAATTAGGAGGCGGAGAGATATCAAACCGATTATTGTTACGCATTATGAGTTCGGCGCACGTATCGCTGAGCCATGAAGGCGAGATTCGCGCAAAAACCGACTTGGTCGACGTTGATCCACGTGCATTTAGAAGAGCAGCAGACGACGGCGAAGAAGAAGCTGTTAGATTGGAACGGGACCGTCCTGGGAACGATTTGGCAAATACACCGTATTCAGGATCTTCGTTCACTGAAGGAAGACGTGATAACCTAAAATTGAGACGACAGTTAGCACAACATCAAACAACATAATGAGCAACAATCGCGGCGTCAGGAAAACTAAAGCATATTGACGTGATCAAAGTTAAAACTTAATTTCTTTGTTTCACAGTACGGTCACATGATCAGTGTTTACAAAAAATTAGTCAACACTAAAAACTAACAACAATTTGCACAACACTAGCTTCAACTTCTTATTACAGCGCTTTAAGTACCAAAATCACAAAAACTAACCCTTTCCGGACAGTCGACACTTTCCCATTCCCATTCACAATCGTTGGTGGTTGCACCACCGGTTTGCGAACGTTGTTGTTATTGCTGACTCCTCCTACCGTACTCCGCAGACGAGTATTACGCGAAAACGATGGAGATGATGTTGGACCGTTAGCAAATGAGGTAGAGGCTGGCGACGTAGAAACGAAGGCGCTGAATCAGCACAGAATATCAAAACAACAGTCAAACTAGCGGATGAAGCAGCAGATAGCAGGCGGATAGCAATAAAGTACATATTCTGACGGACGCCACAAAACATAGACAACATAGAGATACGAGAGACATTGGACTATAACCGGACACAAAAAGTTCGGATCGGAATATAAAAAGAAAATACAATTTTTGTTGATTAGTTCTGTGTGTGGGCAATCTTGCTGGTGTATCTAGGGGATCGGGAGTGAGGCAAGTGATGTAAACTACAAATAGGGGAGAACGTGCAGTGTGTCTATGTGACTCAAGGATCCAATGAAAAAATGATTCCCGGGAAACGATCTTTTAAGTTATCAGATAACTTAAATCCCTACTCACATTCTTTTCTTCTTATCCTTCTTTTCATCCGAATCTCCTGCATCAGCCGCCGCTTCACTAGTTGGATTTGCATTTGCATCAGAAGCATTCGCAGAGGCAAACAGAAGTTCCTCTTGTGTAGCTGTGTGTCTTCGGACTTTGTAGTTTTGAAGAGTGTGAGAATCTTCTGAAAATTGAAAATTACCAATTGTTGAATACGGTTTGTTTCTTACCGACAACAGACGGTGACACACTTCGAAGCAGAGAGCTTTGGGATGATGTTCTACTTTTACGAAGATCGGCTGGAACCAATCCATCAAGTTCGTCCACTGGAAAAAAAAACATATTTAGTCATATTGGTTTTCAGGATAAAATCATTTTGTAATAGTTATTTTTGGATTATGAACTGCAGCCCAAGTTCTCTTATCCCACTAACCCAAGTTCTTGTCCTCAATAATCGAAGTGAGCAGTTGTTCTTTAAGAGATGATTGTTGCTCTAGTTGTTCAATCCGAGCAGCACATTCCTGAAATATTACATTTCATGTACAGGGTGAGCCATGTATTCAACAATTCTGCGCAACTCTGAACATAGTCTTTCATGTTCTTATACTTCCCTATCGTGTTTTTTTGTTGCTTTTTTTGCTTAAACATTTTAGAGTAATTGACCGTGGGAAGTCGCTTCAAGAATTTCCAATGAAAACCGAGCACATAACCAAATGAGGGTAATCGGAGAGCATTAGAGGGGAGAGAGATTTCCTCATTTTTGCAGTGACCGATTATATTGGATTCTCAGAGTGATTTTACATTTTTTCTAGCGGTGTGCATGTTCGTTATTGTCAAGTCTATGAAAATACAAGTGGTGGAAGAGAAAGGAGTGAAAACTACCGTAAACTCAAAACAATTGTGGCTTTCCGGATTTTGTTTAGTTTCTACTGTTTTTCGACGGGTTTCTGAAAGTGGGAAATGTAATATTTTCATAGTGGAAAATATATCTAGAAACCGGACGAAACCGATAAAAATCCGGAAAGTAAAAACACTTCAAAGGTTAATGTAGTTTTCGTTCGGAAAGCTCTCATCAGATTTTATGAACTTTTATCAGGAAAAAAAATCATATTTGAATGAACAGATCTTCCTTTGAACTATCATAGTTTCATCCTTCTACAGTATCCCACATCTAGGACTCGTTCAAAACCGGAAAAGTTAATTCTCCAGATCTCTCAAAATTCTAGTATTCTTATTTCAATGTATCTTTCCTCTTTCCCTCCAATACATAAGGTGTACCCTCTCCTACATTTTACTCGGACGGAAATCTCCCATGGGAAAGTGAAGGCAGTTGCCGAAAAACAAGAAAATGGGGGTGCTCTCGAAGGCGCCGTTCGTACATTTTTGAGGGAAGAAAACAGAATGGCTTCTCGTTCTGAGGCAGAAAAAAGATTGCCTGAAGAAGATTGTCTTGAGCCAAACGACAGCCTCTCAGGACCAAATAAGAAACATTCACTATTTTGGCTTTCCAGTTTCTCTTCCTCTTTTTTGTGTTTTTTCTTGAAACTTTTCTTTTCAGCATTTTGACAGAAATGTTCAAAAAGTTATTTTTTATGAATTCTCTTCTTATACCAATTTTGTTGTTCGTTCCATTCGTAATGAGGTTTTTTGGAGAGAGCAGTCTTCGTCCTTGTCAAAAAGTAAATCAGAGGCCAAACACCTTGTTTTCCTCTGAATATATCAAAATATAGCTCCTCTTAGTGTGTGGTGGTGTTCGCAGATTTCCAAAAACTAAGACTATATAGTTTTGATATTCACATTTTGTTATTCCCCTTATTCTTTCATGTGTTTTTTGATGCTCTATTTTGAAAAGCGACCATTTTTTCCTCGAATATCTAAGCCTCGCGGCACATCAATTTTCGGCGTTTCTGTGGGTGCTTCTAGCTTGCGGTGACAAATTCTTCATTTCAAAATTTCGTATGCCACTATTTCGAAAATAGAGAAGAAGAGGTCCATATTTAGAAATGCAAAAATGTGCTTGCGGGTCGTTGAGCAGGCTGCATTCCCCCTTATTTTCCAGCCCTCACAAATATTTTCTCCTAAAGCAAAAAAGAACGCTTGAATGAAGTCGTTGAACACTTTTCCCTTTGCTCCAACATTTTCTTCTTCTTCAAATTATCTTCGTTCTTTCCTCTTCACCTTCAAACTCTCTTTTCCCAAAAATAGCTCCAAGAAGTTCTCGAAGGACTATCATCACTCTCTTGCGGCAAACGAGTGAGACGTAGACCGAAAGAGTAACTCATTCAATTTGAAAAGTGCTCATTGAGCCCTTCATTGTGGCCAGAAAGCCATATGGAAGAGAAGAATTGAGAAGATAGTATACCTGACAAATTGAATATTTTTATTTTTGGGGCCACACGAAGCCTCTAAAGCCTCTCAGGACATTTTCATCCTGATATAAGATAAAGAACTCGTGATGAGAACAAATCCAGAAAGTTCTAAGACATCCTATCAGAAGCTTCATGATTTAATCGTTCTCGAAGTTCTTAGAGTCTCTGTGATGCCCACTGACCTAGTTCCTTTGCAAAAAGGTAACTTTTTGTTGTCCAGAGAAAAGCCTCGAACAAACAACGATAATTTTTTCTGAAAAGCAGTTTGTGCTCATCATCCATCTTCCCCTCTTCTCTGTTGTCTTCCGGACACAATCAGCTCAATTTGTCTCTTGTGTCTAGCTCCCTTGTTTTGAGAGAGAGAAGAAGAAATGAAGCAAGAACATTGAGCATCGTGTGTTCTAGAAGAAAACACGAATTCTCGGGCTCCGTTTTCTATCCGGCACGTATTTATCTTCTCAGTTTCCACTTTTCTCCCCATTATTGGTCTGGTCTTCTTATTTATGTGTGCAGGTAGAACAATAGAATCTTAGAATGGAAGTGTCTAGACACTATTTGTTGTCTAAAGACTGATTTCTAAAAACATAAGTTTTGATCAGAGATGTTCGGATTCTGTATTCCGAGAAGTACATTTCATTCCGGATTCCGAATTCAGGATTCTGTCTTTTTTTTTAACATTCCGGGCATCTCTAGCCATGAAGCCCTTTGTAATTTTTGGAATTTTTTTCCTAGTAAATAGTGACCTAAAAATCTGAGGGTTCGCGAAAAAAAACGTTCGTAAAGTCTGCACGCATTTCCGACGGGCTATCTCTGTGGCTCAATTTGCATTTAATATGCACCAGAACTGACATTGACATACCCATTTTTCCAATTGCCATTTGTCATTCTTGTCAAAAGGAAATCGTGTTTTGATTTTTTGGATTCCTTGATTCCTGACTTTTCTAAATAAAAGAGAAAAATGCTCAGGCACTTATATTCCCTTCTGAGAATTTTGAAGAATCATTGAGTAAGAGAAGAATTTATGGAAAGAGAGCAGTGCTGTTTCGGAAACACAAAATGCTCCCGAATAAAAAAATATTCGATCAGCTTTTCATTCCAATTGTACCCAAAAACGGATGCAATTCCTCCATCTAATTTCCTCTCGTTTCGCTTGAAGAAATGCAATTTCAGCACGAGAAATAAATAAATTATGAAAATTCTCTTCTCCTTCTTCTTATCTTTCTTCCAAATTTCGCCTATTCAAAAGATCAAGTTCGTTACATAATCTAGGCTAGAACCAGTTCGATACCAGGGCAATCCAGGGAGACGAAAAAAAGAGGCGGGGTCACAAATAAGGCACAAACGGAATAGGGGGTGAGAGCAGAAGTGGTGGGCACCATACACGTGACTAGAAGAACTCGGAGGTCCAGAAGGGGGAAGAAAAATGAGACTTTAAATGTCATCAGAACTTCTTTCGTTTTGTTTTCAAAATAATAAAAGTTCTTTGGGAACTCCTGCTTGGGTTCAAAATATAATTTGGTTCTCATAATTCTTTTGGAATTCAGAATACTACGTCATTGATCCCTTGTGGTTTAATATGATAACTTTTGATTGAGTTTGAAATCTAAATCTCGCGGAGAGCCAAAACGTAGACCGCTAAACATTCGAGAAAATTTTCCTTTTTCTGTTATTTCTACATTTTTTCGTGTTGTTTCTGGAACATGAGAAAATCCCTTTGTGGGCGCCGCACTTACCTTAAACTCGGCCTCCACTTTTGCCGCAAGCACCGCTTTATCAATGCACAAATCGAACAGGTGTTGCAGAAGATATCTACAATCAGATACGTGACAAAGATTTGATTCAAAAAAAAGAAGAGAAAGTGGGGGTGGTACCCAGGGCAGATAGAATTGATGAATCCTCCTCTACTTTCCTGTTAGGTCCAATATGAGACAGCTGTCTCATTTTTTGTGTCTCTTTCTCTCTTACCTTGCTTCACTCAAAGTGTCACATCCGTCGAAGAGCTGCTTGATTGTCTGTTTTTTCAGTCCCACATCCAGCTCTGGTTCGTTCTCAGCGTTTGAAGATATATCCTGAAAATTCGAAAATTTTTTGAATTTCAATATTTATTTCCAGTTTTCAAATATGAAAAGTGTGTTCAATCTGTTTGAGGCACTCCAAAGTTAATTTCTCTAATTTCATTTCTCATAACTTCATTACCCCCATCCGATTCTTTCTGAATCCATCTATTAAATTTCCCCCCGCCGCATCGGCCAAAAACCAGTATGTGCTCTGGAACCTACTCTCAAATTCCACCCCATTCCAGCCTCTCCTCCACATTTCATCTCGTTTTCATTTTTGCTGCCTCCTCTGCTCCCAGATATCTCATAAATTCTCGATGAACTCCACTGTAATCTTCGTATGCCTCATTCAAATGAATCCTTCTTTTTTAGAAGAGAAGTAAGCAGTGAGTTTAGAACCTTGTAGTTAATGAGTGTTTCAATTTTTCAGAGAGAAGAGTAAACATGTGCGTGTGTGTGTGCTCTTCCTTCCCTTTTCCACTAATGAGGCCCTATTCTTAGTTTTTGTATAGGTGAAAAGAAGAGACAAAAATATATTTTTTGTAGTTTTTTAGAGGGACAAGAATACGAAAAAGCGACGATTTTCAGAACAGATTTTTTTTCTGATTTTGTATTCAGCCGATAAATATAGTGGAATCCAAATCGCAGATTTATCTGCAATCCGTCTGTCTTTTGACTGAGCTACCGTATTCCCAACGCCTACTGTTTTCCTTCTTCATTCTGTATATAAACCAAAATAACCAGACACTCATGTAATGATCTTTTCTTTTCATTCCAAGCAGAACACAAATGAAAGACAAAGAATTCGAGGCGCCCGTTCTCCATCTGGAACCCCAGCTCCTCATCACCAAAATAAGCAAACGAACAAAAAGAAAACAATTCCCTGTTTTATTTCTCTGCTCCCCTTCTTTTGGTATGTGTGCCTCAATTTTCGTCGTCTCAAATTGAGCTGCTTCCCCCGAGTAGCTCATTCACTCCTTCGTTTCGAGTCATTTCTCTCTTTTTCAACTCTTTTTCTTCGCCAACTGATATCACCTATCTTTGTGAAGAAGATGGGATTCGATGTGTTTTGGAAGTGAAGAAGATGAGGGACCACAGATTGGAAGCGAATCTATTTTGAGCTGGTTAGTTGAATAACCTTCCGAAGAGAAGGTGCCAGTAGAGCAAAACGAGAGCCAACAGAAACCAACAGGTATTTCGTTAGCTCAAGGATAGAAGGCTACTCTCCTGGCGGCTCCATGAACTAATTTTCGATACGATGAGCTTTAGGGGAAGTTCCTAAACGCGATTAAGATCTTAAGATTTGAAAATGATCTATTCTGAATTAGACGAATCCGTCAAAGTAATCTATAGTGTGCCACATTCTAAACTCCAAAGCTAACCTATCCTTATTTGAAGTACTCTTGCAGATATTGTTCGAAAAGAAAAGCTTGCTTTCCAGCAAAATGAGCCTATTCGTCTTCTCATGTGCTCCTCCTCAATTTCTTTGCGTGCTCACTCAACCGACGCCTAATTTCAATTCGCAACTCCTTTTTTCTCCTTCTTCTATTTCGACTGAGTGTTTGTATGTCCGAATTGATGAACCCCTCTCCAGCACTTCTTCTTCTTTTTTTTTCTTTTCTTCTTCCACAATTCTTTTTCTCAGTATCTTGAAAACACATCGAAACTCTTCATTCTAGCTGTCACTACCAAAAGAACCAATTTTATCCGCTTTATGTTTCTGACACATCTACAGTAGTAGGATTCATCTTTTTTTTTTTAGTTTGCAGAATCTATATGAGACTCTAGATATTTTCAGTTCGCAGTACTCTTCTCGTTTCTCTTTTTTGAATAACAAAATAACGAGTAAGAAGGCATTCTGTTTACAGGCGCTGTCAGCTGAATTCTAGACAAATGAGTTCATTGTCCTTCCATAGCGTGACGGATAGTATTTTCTTTTTTTGAACATGTCATGCTCCAAAAAATTGTGGAAATTCAATTCAAACAGTAGACTTAAGTAAGACTTTACAAGTAAACTAAATTATTAAAATCAGGCCGCGGCTCTTTGGTTATGACACTTTTGTGATAAGTAGGATTAAGCGGCCTAGCGACGTAAGAAGTTTCTGGATTGCTCAGCTTATTTTCGGAAGAACGGAAAGCTGGGTCCATGGTAGCCTGCCCATGGCCCTGTTTTCGACAGCTTCGAAGAAATTTCAAATATCTAAGCAGCCTTAATTCTGGCGAACCCTCTTCATTATCTTGTCTGTAAGATTCAAATGAGGAACATTCGAAAAGAGAAGCATCACGTCAGACCCACATCAAAAAGGAACACAGAAAACAACATGTTGATGAAGCTCCCAAAACGGGTAAAAATGACCTAATCTTGTCTGGGCCATCTTGACCACAGAATCAAACATCATCAGAATATGCTTTTATGAGTACTGCGATAATCTAACATCTCCATATGTAAGCTTTTAGTGTGATAGTCTAGATGTAACTCTGGAAATCTAGATTAACCTATTTGTCAAGAAGTTCTTTACCCTAGCTAAACCTTCTCCGTTTTTTGCAAACCCAAGGAACACATCTTTGCGTGTTTCGAACTTGTCATGTTTCTTTTTCCACCTTATTTTTCATCGCTTCTTTCCCAATCATCAGTTATCCTGCTTCACAGACCCGTTATCTTTTTTCTTTCGACTCTCTGCGCCTCGTGGAGATAAAGAGCATACACGAGGAGTGAGCACACATCATCATGTCTTCGTTTGAGACGAGCTTGAGACTGAAGAGAGTGATAGAGAATGAATAGGGTGAAGAAGAAGGGGAGAGTAGAAGAGCATCGTCGTGTGATGATGATGATGATGGCCACATTAGCCCCGCCTCTGCCACTCAGTTTCTTCTCGGTTTCTTTTTGACTTTATAGTGGTCTTTTTCGACAATATTTTGGGAGATTCAGGTTCCCTGAAAGCCCATGTTCAGATGATTCAGACTTTATCAATCTTGATATTATATTCATCTTCATCTTTGCGTTTTCATGAAACTCTGACGAATTCAGTTTAAAATCAACTTACAGCACAATTTTCTGATTGTTGCCAAAATGACTTCAAACAGCGAGAATCGGTCAAACAAACTGAATGAGAAGCGTACGAGTGTTCAAATGAAGACAAGCTTCTCACAAGAGGTCTACAAGACACCTATCAAACAAATTCTTACTGCTCCATCACAGTCTCATTCACGAATCACACCAGGTGGACAGGTGAGTTGAAAACATTTTCTGTTCTGAAAGCATCTCATGTGTTTCTTTCAGCTCTTCCTCTGTGTGATGGGTCTTTTGATCAGTGTGGCCATCAGTATCTGGCTTGCGGCGTTCAGTCGTGAAAGCGGATGGCGTCGTGCCGTATTCTCATCGGCAGCTGCCATTTGCGCAATTCTTTTCGTTCTTCTCACTATCATGACCTACAAAAGAGCCAAGAAGTGAGTACTAATTAATTGAAATTTCGTATCTAGCAAGACCAAAATTTCAGCCCACCAGAGCCAGAGCCACTCCCAGATCTCTCCCAACGTCGTTCCACCATCGGAGCTCGAGTCAGCAAACGATCAATTGCCGCTGGGATGAGTGCAGACTCAGATTGCCCAACCCAGGTGAGAATCAAAACAGAATAGGAAAAAAGGAACCAGACCGGAAACCGGAACTCTTGATCCTTGTTTTCCGGTTATAAAAGCAATTGAAAACTGTCTGTGTTGTCTCATTGTTGTCCATTCAACTACAAATGTATATATTTCAGGTCCTAGTTACCGGAACACGTGGTTCAATCCCATCTTAATCATCTTTTCAATCGACTTCTTTCCCTTCATCTTCACTCTATTCTTTTTTCTCCATATCGGGTAGCGATCATCAAAAAAAAAACAACTTTTAACCCCTTCTTCTCCTTCTCCTCGTTCCTCCCCACCACAAAAGTCTCAAAAACCAACTAACTCTTGAACTTTTTTCTTTGAAACCCATTCACTTCATTCCCCTGTTTCCATTTTTGAACCCTTCCAATTCTTGTCTGTTTGTATAACTCGTTTCCTTCGGTTCATATCCGAATCCCCCTTCTGAACCAGTTTTTTCTTTAACATTTTTTGTTCAATTACCTAATTTTTTTGGAAATAAATGCTGATCTGAAACACTGTCTACTCACCTCATCCACATCACAAATCAACTTCTGCTGGTACGTAATTTGGTCTTGCACATACTGAAGTTTCTCCTTGGCACTGTCAATTGCTTCTAAAAGACCGTCACGGTAGATGACATCTTGAGCTTGGGTGAATTGCTTTTCCTGAAAAAGAAAATAGTAGAATCCGTTTTTAATAATTCCAATCTACATTCTCCACAATCTCCAACATTACTGCATGCCTTTCGTTCAAATATCGTTCTAACTCTGCTTCCATCTTCTGGACAATCTGACGGCGTCTAGCGCTTTCCTCGATTTTCCGAACAATAACATCCCATTTGACTTTACTTGCTTTGGCGGAGAAAGTAAGCTCTTTCATCGCCTGAGTAGCACCAACAACTCCCCGAACTCTGCGTGCCGGAGAACTGACAACAGGAGCACCACCACGAGATGGTCCTCCTCTATTGGCTTGTCGAGCGGCTGCTGCAGCAGATGCTTTCTCTTTTCGTAGAGCATTCACTTCTTGGGTTGTCTTTTTCAAAAACTGTTCTCGCTGCTTATCCTTCATTTCGAGAGTTCGGATTTTATTAGCTTGTAGGCGAGTTTGTTTCTCCTTGGTTGCAATTGCACGAGCGTTGGCAAGTTGCTGAGCTTTCTGCTTCTTCTTATCCTCGTTCATCTTTTTGATCAGCTCTACTTTGGCCTTCTTCAAATCAACAACTTCACTCTTTAGTCTAGTCTTCTCTTGAAGTTCTCGCTGTGATTTGGCAATCACTTTCAAATGTTCTCGATCAAGTGCTTCGATTTTCTTCAACTCTTTCCGTAAATCACTGATTTTCAGCTCGTATTCCTGCTTGATTGCCTTCATCTGTTCATTGTTTCCACCTCGTTTTCCACCCTCGTTTAGAACACGATCTCTTTCAGTTTCGGTATCTAAAACCACCAATATTAGGGGATTAATTGTTATAATTAGACAATACCCTTGATTCGTTCCATTAACTCTCTGAGCTTCTTCTCATACGTATCTCTGATTTGCTGATTCTGTCTTTCAGCTCTTTCTAATTGATCGATGAGTTTTTCCTTGATATCCAACTCAATCATCACTTCATTCAAATCAATTTGCAATGCCTCCGACTCTTCTTGCTGCTCTTTCTCAGCTGCAATTTCGTCTTCATCTTCATCCAAATCTTCTTCATCAAGAAGCTCTTCAGCTTCATTGCTTGTTCCATCCTCGTCTTGAGCCATTGATGAGTACTCCGATGAAGCTGTAACTTCAGTTTAAATGAATAGTTGTAGTTGGAGGGAGAAAGTAATTTGAAAACTAAGAAAGCCGTTTATCGATGTTTTAGAATGAGAGGGAAGTCACTTCTCAGAAATGTATGAAAAAGGTTGAATGTTTAATAAAGTCTTTCTTACCATTTTCTCCTCCAATATTTACTGATTCCATCATCTTCCTTTGTTTTTCGAGCTCTATCTTTGCCATTTCGATGAGCTTCTGGCTATTAAATTCAGATGCACCACCTCCTGCACCACGAGATGCTCCAATAGCTTTCCATTTTGCATTATCTTTCCTCAACTGGTCACATGTGGATTGGGATTCATACAGTAGTGATTTCGTTCGCTCTAATTCTTCCAAATATTTCCGGAACGTCGACTGAACTGCATCAACTTCTCCGTCAGCGCTTGTCGGCAGAGCGGATATTGCATTTAATTCTTGCTTCGCTTTCAAGTCAATGTTCTCCGTTCGTAAAATGTCGAGAGTCTCATTCAACGCTTTTACACGGAATCGCAGATGGTTGACTTCGCTCTGGAATACGGATTTGTGATTACAGAAGAATGTTTGGGACAAAATTTGGAATTCCAAAAATTCCGACTGGAAGATTTCGGCAATTACACTTTGACTACACCTACTCTTTGATTTTTGTCTCATATTATAGGCTTAGGCTAAAACTTATGTTTTCCGGCAAACCGTTTCAGCCTAAGCATTTGATTTGAACAAAAACTAATGAAAATTGTGAAATCTCAGCGAAAAAAGTGAGATTTTTGCTGATTGCCGCGAATTTCAGTACTTTTTTCACTGTGATTTTTTTTGGAATTGTCAGTTTTTTGTTCAAAATTCTAGGCTTAGGCTTCAAATCTTCTTATTTACCGTAAGAACGCCCACAAAAAATGCAGAAAATTTCAAAATTTTTAAAAAGTGTAGTCAAAGAGACTTTGTAGTCAAAGAGACAAGTGTAGTCAAATGGGGTTATTCACCAACATGTAGAAAAATTCGGAGAAATGGAGGAAATTCCGCGAAACCGCGGAGAATGAACCAATCTAGCTGAAATT